GCGATAATAGTATAAGGGAATCTGTGATTGATAAAAAAGAAAACAAAAACCAAAAAAAAAAAAAAAAAAACCCCCAAAATTAAGCTTTATTTATGGTTAATTAATTAATTAAATTGGGTTTAAAATTAATTAATTATAAAGAAAGATTTTGATAGTTCATTTTGGTTTTTTTTTTTTATATGCGTTTCTTTTTTAATTAAAAAAAAGTAGTATTATTTTTAAATTATTATACAAATTCTTTTCCTTTTTTATTTTCTCAATTTTATAACCACATTGTAATATTCTTTGGTAGAATAACAAAAACAAAAACGCACACAAAGAGACCAAATTATCATTATTACAAAACCAACCTGAATCATTATAATACGCCAATAATAAATTAATAATAGCACACAATGATAAAACCACCACTGCTATAATAACAATAAACACACCCACAATAATAATAATGTTCCACACTAGACAAGTATTTTTTTATTAAAAATAATTTGCAAAATATATACACGCACACACACACACACACACACACACACACGCAACATATATATTTTATTAACGATGTGTTGTGAGTTTTATTTATGTTTGTAGTGTATTTTTTTGATACAAACAAATTAATATATTAAAAAAAAACAACAAAAATTGTTATAAATACCACAAACCCACCCCTTATTACCATTATTTTTATTATTATTGTTGTTTACTCATATTAAATTAAACATTATCCCACACACACAAAACTTTGATTTTTTTTTCTCACCTTCCATTTCAAACAATTTGGCACACTTACATACATAGTGCGTGTATCGATTTTTTTTTTTAAATTTAAAAAAAATTATTATTATTATTTTTTTTTTTTTCAATTATTTATTTTTTAATTTTTTAAAACCCCCTTCATCTCATATATTGCTGTCTATATAACCTTTAAATCAATATGATTTAAATTTTGTTTAGAAAAAAAAAAAAAAAAAAAAAAAAAAGTTTTATTTATTATTTCATTTTCCATCAACATACTCCAATTTTTAATTAATAAATATCGTTCATATTTTTCTTCACACACAACTATTTATTTGTTTTGATTTATTTGTTTTTTTTTTTTTTTTGATTTTTTTGACAATAATAAAATTTTAATTAAAAAAATAATATATATATTATTCACACATATAAATCCCACCCACACCCACAGACCACACATACATTTCATAACAGTTAAATAAATATATAAAACATATAATTTAATTATACATGTAATTCAATTTTATTTTTTTTATTTTATTTTATTTATTTTATTTTATTTTATTTTTTTCCCTTTTTTTTTTTTTTTTCATTTTTATTATAATTTTATTTTATTTTTTAATTTTATTATTTATTTATTGTTTCATTTATTTTATTTATTTAATATTCCTAAAATTTCAAACTTAACACTTTCTATTAATATCCCACACACTTTTAATCATCAATATACATAAAAATACATACACACAAAAAAAAAACAGATTTATAAATACCTTAATTTACTCACACATAAATATACCATACACTTTGGAGGTCCAATCCCCTCATAGAAAAATAATTATTTATTATTTTATTATTATTGTTATTATTTTATTTTTTAATTTTATATTATTTATTTATTTATTTATTAATTATTTGTTATAATAATAATTATTATCACATTTTTATCTATTTCCTATCATCAAATAAAAATTAATATTGTGTATTTTTAAAAATAATTTATTAAATCACAAAACATTTTTTTTTTTTTAATTTTTTTTTTCCCACTTTTTAAAATACTATATACTTTATTTTTATTTTTCCTCAATAATTAAGTTTCTAAATATATTAATTGTTTTTTTTTTTTAAAAAATATATAAAAATCAATTAATTAAAGAAAAATGGAATCAGATAATTTTTTTCAAACTTCTGTTCCATATTTTCAGGATTTTAATATGGGTAATCCATCATCATCGGCTAATAATTCAGGATTATCAAATAGCAGCAACCTTATGAATTTAAATGGAAGTAGTTCATCGTTATTATTTTCAAATAAAGGTTTGGGTAATTCAGATTTTCAAAATTATACACTCCAACCATCAGCCTATTTATCAAATTATAATATAAATAATAGCAGTAATAATAATAATAATAATAATAGTAGTACTAGTGCTACAAATAATATTAGCAATAGTTCAAATAATATAAATAATAACACAAATGGTAATATCGTTGTTGATGACTTTTTATATAAAAAAGTATCAGCAGCCAATAATATTCAAGTACCAACTACCCCACCAAAGGATTTAGGTTTTATTCAGAATATTTTACAACAACAACAGGAAATTTTCCAAAAGAAACTATCTGAGCAGGGAATTACTAATTTACCACCAGATCAATTGCAATTTATGTTTATGCAAGAGCAACAAAAATATTTATCAAATATAAATAGTAGTAATGGGGGATCCGATACAAATTTACCACCATTAGATAATTATCAATTCCAAGTGTCGCCACAAACAAGCCTTAATAATAGCAATAATAATAATAATAATAGTAGTAATAATAATAGTAGTAATTTTATAAATTTAGCATCACCACAAATTAGACAACAACCAATTCAATCCCCACAACAAGTTCCACAACCAATTCAATCACCATCTTATTATTCACCACAACCAACCCAAACTTCATCATCCTCATCCTCAACATCATCTTCATCATCTTCATCGTCCTCATCATCCTCTTCACTCCAACAATTACAGCAACAACAAATGCAACAACTTTTACAAATTCCAGGACATATGCAAACACCACAACCTTCACCTCAGCAAACACTACAACAGACCCAACAAATACAACAACAAAAAATTCAACAACAACAAGCTCAACAGTTACAAAATAAACCAATAACAACTACAACCACTACAACCACCACAAAATCTAAACCAAAAAAATCAAAAAAATCAGAAGACGAAGAATTTATTGATGAAAATGAAGACAAATCAAAGAATAAGTCAAGATCAAGTCAAAATATAGCAAGTAGAAATTATAGACAAAGAAAGAAGGATCATATTCAAGAGGTGGAATATAAAGTACAACAACTAACACTTGAAAATGAAAGATTAAGACAAGAAAACCATATTTTAAAGAAGGGCGATCTTGGTGATGTTATGAGACCAGATTTTGATTTCCAACAAGTATTGTTAGAAAGTCAAAAGTTAATGGCACAACTTCAAGATGCAGTAAATAAAGAGGATCATTCAACAATTGAAAATCTTTTACAACTTTATTATTTTGCATCTCAATTACGTACAACCGTTGTCGAAAGAGAAGTTGAAAAAATAGTTCATCCATATACTCAAGTAAGCACTTTAAAAAAGAAAACATTAATATATTTCTCTATACTAACAATATTTTTTTATTTATTTTCTAGGCTAGATTAGCAGTCATGGGTTACAGATCAAGTGCTGAAACATCTATTTTATTAAGACCATTTTCAACAAATCTTTGGTGGCCCAAGTTTGCCGACGAAGTATCATTAACAGAGGACCAAAGAAAAGCATCCGATATTTTATGGAGTGATCATTTAAAGATTGATATGGAGCTTAGAACCGAGCGTGATCAATTAGATAGAGAAATTAAAGAGTTGTTTTTAAAGAAAATCGTTAGCCATGGTACTAAAAGACCTGAGCTATTATTTGATCGTGAGATCACCTATAATAGTGAAATTGACTATCCAAGTTCACCACACTCATCACCCGGCTCATCTAATTCATCCAATTCACCACCAACCGCTACATCTTCACCAACACTTCAAAGCCCACCAGACTCACCACAAACCAATATCAATTCTTCTGGTGGTGTACAACATTCTACAAACTCAAGTTGGCATCACTCTTTCCATTCACCTTACCCAATGCCTCAAACTGTAGCACAAGTTTCTAATATATTCACCGAAAACAATAAACCACTAGAATTGTCAGAGTTACTCGAAGTCACAAGAAAACTTGAACTTTTAAAAAAGAATTTTGTAAAGCATCGTAACCTTATTTGCGATACCGATTTGGTTCTTTCAACAATCTTGACCCCATTCCAACATGCCAAGCTTATTTTAAGATTAAATAGTGTAACTTGCTATGATTTCTCGATTGTTGATACTATAACTGGCATCTGGGGCACTATAAACAGTAATCTTAAAGAGGGTTCATTCATTCAAAATCTTATGCCAGATCAAGACGGCAAATTTGAAGTATTGGAGAAATTTAAGCAAAATCAAATGGCTGATATAAAGAATTCTAGACCTATCAAATTGGAAAGCTTACAAAAAACCTATGAAAAACTTTACCAAACTGTTTTAGGCTCAGATAGTCCCAATTGTACATTTTTAAAACAAAATGATTATCAACATCAAAATTTAGTAACAGCAAGTCCAAATTATGCACATTCACCAACTATTTCAAGCCCATCACAACAAATTCCTAATTCTCCATCATTTGATCTATCTGCTGGTTGTAACCCAACTACAACCACCACCAACACATCTTCACCAATAATAACAAATGGTCTAACACCAAGTTTACTTTCAAATCAAATGCACATAAATGGAATACCTTCTCCATCAAATATTACAAATACACCAAATAATCAAAGTCCATCATTGGATTCTTTAAAAAATAAACAACAACCAAACGAGTCAAATAATACTAATACTAATAATAATAATAATAACAATAACAATAATAATAATGAAAATTCGACAAAAAAAAGTAATAAGGCAAAAAAGTTCCAATGGTATAGTTATAAAACACCAAGTGTTTAAAAAATAAATAATTAATATAATAAATTATAAATATAAAAAAATTATTAGTTTTTTTTTATAAAAATATAAATTGTCTTGTTTTCTAAAATTTATTTTTATTATTTTTCTTAATTAAATCTGACATTCTTTGGCTTATATATTCTTTCGTTTGGTAATAATGCGTTGGCTTTTTCAAAATCTTTTAATTCAACTAATTCTTTAATTTGATGTGCAAGATCGGTAACATCTTGAATTCTAACTATCCAATCTTCATTATATTCTTTAGTTTTTACCGCTTTAATACCAATTTGAATTGATCTAACATCTCCACAACCATCAATTTTACCAATTTTAAAATTTCTTTCTGGGTCCCATTGGACCACTATTTTCTTTTTTTCAGAAGGAATTGAACTTTTTGCAGTTTCTGTAGAATCTATATGATTTTCTAATATCCATTCAAAAGCTGAACGTTTTATATCAATTGCCAAAATTCTTTCTTTTAAACAAAAAATAAATAAAGTTAATAGGTATTAATATTAAAATTGCTTTTTATCCAGTTTTATTATGTAATAATACCTTGGTTGTGTTTTGTTGCATACCCTATTTATTTAAATAAAAAAAAAATTTTAATGTTAAAATATTAATATTAAAAAATAAAATTATAATTAATTAAATGATGAGGTTTATTTACATACCACTTCTATAAAGCATCCAACAAAAACTTGGTTTAATCCATGTCATACGGTCTTGTTTCCATCCTGATGCTTCAGTAAATCTTTGATTTTTAATAGCATCATCTGCAATTGTTGCTTTATATGCTTGATAGACTCTAACGGTTTCGTCGTCATATACTGCATTAATAATTCTTTTATACCCTGACATTTTATTATTTATTTAGTTTATGATATTGTTTTATTATTAAATATAAATGTTTATTTTATATTATTTAAATAGTTGTTGAAGAATATAAAACTAAAAAAAATAATTTAAATATTAAAAATAAACAATGTTGAGAATTTTTAAATAAAAAAAATAATTTTTAATATAAACAATTTTGAGAATTTTATAATAAAAAATAATTTTTAAAAAATAAAAAAAGTAATTGTTTTTATTTAAATAATTTATTAAACTTTAAAATATTTTATCTGATTGTTAAAATTAATTTATCAATGAAGAAACCATATATAAACATAAAACAAATAAAAATTAATTGCCAAGAAATAATAATTTTCCACAAAAATCAAATTTTTTTTTTTTTTTAATTTTTTAAAAAAAAAAAAAAAATCTTTTAAAATTTTTATTTTATAATTTTTAATAATATTTATTTCTTCAACCATTTATTTCTTTTTATAAATAACTTTAAAATGTCAAGTTTTGGTGATAGGTTGAGAATGTTTTATTCAGATGAAACAAATAAAATCAATTCACAACAATCATACACATCAAAAAATAATAATAATAACGAAGATAATAAAAATACTAATAACGATGAAAATGATGATTTATCATTTTTTGATGATAAAGACACAATAAATAAACAACAGCAAAGCAATAACGATTTTCAATTTAGCGATGAAGAGGATAATAGAAAACCAACAGATAATAAAAATATTAAGGTTTCATACGGGGTCGGATCTAGTGCCAACGAAGATGCAGACAGAAATAAAAAGAATAATGCAATTTTATTAACACCAAAATCCTCTTTAAATAAAAGAAAATTAGATGAAGACGAAATGAATCAAAATAACAATCAGTCTTCTAAAAAACAAAATAATAATAACTACAACAACAATAGTTATAATAATGGTAATAATAATAATGACAATAATAATAACAAATCAATTGTAATTGATGATGATAACTTTAGTTTCTCAATTGATGAAGATGAACAAAATTTACAATTACAACAAAATCAAATTCAAAAACAAGCTTCCTCAGACGAATTACAAAATAGATGGCAATGGAGGGCTGATGATCGTTGGGTTGACTATGATATCGAGAAGATGTACCAGTTGGAGGATGCTTTAAATAACAAAAAGAAGAAGTTTGAGGTCGACGAGGAAAGATATGTAGATTTAAGTTCCTGGAAACAAAAAAGAAATGATTCTTTAATTAAACAAAGAGAAGTTAGAAGAGTACCATTTAATATTAAATCTACAACATTACCAAATAATATCACTGGTGACCAATCAAAATATAAACCAGGCTCACCAACAAACAGCTCATCATCATTCTCGAATGCCTATTCCTCATTTAAGAGTAGCAATAGCAGCAGCAGTAGTAATAATAGTAATATACACACACTTAAGTCAACTAGTGGCAATAATAATATTACTAACAAAGGTAATAATAACAATAGTAATAGCAGTAATAGCAGTAATAATAGTAATAATAGTAATAATAGTAATAATAGTAATAATAGTAATAATAGTAATAATAGTAATAATAGTAATAGTTGGTATTGGAAAGATGATAGTGGATGGAAGGAATATTCAAAAGAAATTATTAACAAAATTGAAGAAACCATCTCAAAAGGTAACAAAAGAGTACAAATTGATGACGAAAGATTTATAGATTTAGAACATAACCTTCAAAGAAGATATGATGATATAAATAAAGTTAGACCAATTAGAAAAGGTAATTCTGCTGTGTCCAACACCAATAATAATAGTAATGTACAAAAAACAACCTCAGTAGCAACATCAACTCCATCAAAGTTAACAAATACCTCCAGCAACTACTTTACAAGCAACAAATCAAATAATAGTAATAGTAATAGTAATAATAATAATAATAATAATAATAATAATAATAATAATAATAATAAATCTGCATCAAATAGTGCACCAAATCCAACAGGTGCCAAATGGTTATGGAGGAGTGATTCAAGCTGGGTAGAATATAATTCAGAGCTCAATATTGAAATTGAAAATGGCTATAAAGAAAAAAAAGATAAAATCATAATTAGAATTGGCAACGAAGATAAGATTATTGATTATAAAGCATTTTTCCAAAGAAGAACTGATGATCCAAGTAAAAGAAGAGAAATTAAACGTGAAATTGATCTAAATCTATCTGGTAAACCAACAAATAATAATAACAACAATAATAATAGTAATAATAGTAATAATAATAGTGGCAATAAAAATAATGGTAGTAATAAAAACATTAATAATAACAAAAGCAAATTTGATGATGACAGTTTATTCGAAGGCGAAGGTTTCTTTGGCAGTAAAAATAAAAACCAAAGTGAAGAGGATTTAATGGCAGAAGAATTAGATTTCAACGATCCAGATTTTAGAGAAAAGAAAAGAAAACTTTATGTCTGTGGTAAAGACTATAAAACTTTAAATGACCTTCCCACTTGGTATGATTTCTTAGAGAAAAATAGACACAGGGTTAAAACATCAAATTTAATTAACGAACCAGATCCAGCATTAAATAAAAAGATTTGTCTTTATGGTGGGGATATCACAGCACTAGAAGTCGATGCTATTGTTAATGCTGCTAGATCTTCTTTATTAGGTGGCGGTGGCAGTAAGTATTTTAATATAAAAAAACAATTTTAATTTAAACTAATTCTTTTTTTATTCAATTAATAGTTGATGGAGCAATTCACCAAGCTGCAGGTACAGGTTTAGTAAACGAATGTGAAACTTTTGGTGGTTGTAAACCAGGCGGTGCAGTTTTAACAAAGGGTTATAGGCTTCCAGCCAAGTATGTTGTAAGTATTACCCTATGAAATAATATTACCAATCACCCATTCATTAACAAGTGTTTTATTTTAATAGATTCATACTGTAGGGCCAATGGATAAAAATCCAGAAACATTAAAAAAATGCTATGACTCATGCTTAGATATCGCTTTAAAAAATAATCTTAAAACTCTTGTATTTTGTTGTATTGCAACCGGTGTTTATGGTTTTCCAAGTTTGGATGCTGCAAATATTGCATGTGAAACAATTTATAATTGGCTCAAAGTTCACTCAAAAAAAGTGGATCGAATTATATTTTGTATTTATACAAACGATGATTATAAAATTTATGGAAAATTATTACAACAATATTTCCCAATACATCAAGAATAAAATTAATTAATTAATTAATTAATTAATATTAATCAATTTATATTTTTATAAAACCAATAAATTAAAATATTTTATTTTCATAAATTGTTGGGAAGAAAAAAAAAATTATTTTGGTTGCGTTCTTTTTGCCAACAAATGTGATGTAGTTAAAAAAACGGTGTGATGATAGGTATCAACTCAAATTTAAATGTGAATCTTAAAAAAAGACTTTTATCGTTTTTTATTATAAAATAATTTTTTTAAAATAATTTTTTTTTTTTATTTTTTAACTTTTTTTTTTTTTTTTATTTTTTATTTTTTTTTATTTTTATTTTTTAATTTATTAATAAAAATATAAATATTATTAATATTATAATGTTTATTTTTGTATATATATCACTTTAAAATTAACTAAAAAATAAAAAATAATTTATAAAGTTGGAAATGAATAATTGTGTAAATAATAATCAAAATCATAAACAAAAAAATAGTTGTAATAAAAACAAATAAAAAAATTTAATCATAATAACACACAATCAGTTATACTTATATAAAATCACAAAACATCTCTTTTTTTTTTTTTTTTTTTTTTATATTCTTTTTTTTGTTTGTTTTTATATTTTCTATATTTAAAATTTTGTATAAATCAATCAATCAATCAACAATCAATCTTTAATATATCTTTAATATCTTTAATTATAATAATAATTTAACATCAATAAAACACACAACAATAAAATAATAATAGTAATAAAATGAATATTTTAATTAATAAATCATTTTTAAAAACAATAATAATAATATTTTTAATAAATGTAAAATTAATAGCATGCATGGTTTATGATAAAGAGTTTAGTTTCAATGGGAATTATTATATGGTACAGCAATTTGGTTTTGATAAACACGGTACAGTAGAGATAAATGTAAAATCATTAAGTTTAATAGGTTTATTAGATGAAAACACAAGTGGTGGTTATAGTCAATTGTTAGATGTTTCATCATTGGCCATAAATAATAAAAATAAAGACAATAATAATTTTAAAAATAAAATAAAAATAAACAACACTAATAATAAAAATAAAAACAACGATAATAGTAGCAGTAGCAATAATGATATTCCAATAGAAATATCTGTAACCAGTGGTGATAATTCGACTACTATAGGAGATGTATCATCATCATCTTCTTCATCATCATTATCCTCAACAACCTATTCATCATCTTCATCATTATCCTCGACATCCACTTATTCATCATCCTCTCCCACTTCTTCACCAGATATAAATTACTATTTAAATAATAATAACAATAATGATAATAATAACAATAATAATGATAATAATAATAAAAATAAAAATAATAATAAAAATAAAAATAAAAATAATAATAATAATAAAATTGATATAGTACAGAATGAAATTATTAATACAGCTAAAATAAATAATAATTATAATATAACATTATGGATTTGCCAAGATCGAGATTATCAATCATTAATAGGGTCATCACCATCAAATACCATTGAAAGTAAACTATGTCAAGGTAATTTAAATACCGCAAATTGTCCAATTAGGAATGTAACATTAGCATCAGGTACATTTGAAAAGTTTTCAATTGAGGTTTCTGATATGTATAGAGTAATTGTATTAAAATGTGGTGATTCTAGAACAGCCAAAATTCATTTGGAGTATACTCTTAAAAATCCTAATGGCCATTTAGAAAAAGGATACCTTCAATTACCTTTGCTTTATAGATATATAGTAATCATAATGTCAATTCTCTTTGTTATAGTGATAATACATTGGTATTTACATAGAACAGTTTTAAATGTTATCCATTATATCTTATGTAAGTTTTTCAGTTTATAATACATTTTATAAAAAAATATATTAACATAGTTTATTATTACTATACAGTTATCATTTTATTATTAAAGCTAGTTTTAATTATTATAGCACTCAGCTATTGGACAGATGCAAATAGTAGCGGTAAATTTAATATTACACTCCGATACTTTTTAAATATTTTTTCAGCATTATCAGAAACCGCATTTTTTTCAATTTTATTTGTTTTATCTAGAGGTTTAAAAGTTACAAGACAAACATTAACAAGGTCAGAATTTAGAACTATTTGTATTATATTGTTATTCCTTGTTACAGTACTTTTATTCTTCATCTTTTTCAATTCCATATATTTTTATTTAGCATTAATGATATTGTATTTTTTTATGATGCCAAAGATTTTCACAAATATCACAAAGAATCTTAGGGTCTTATATGCCAACATGATACTTTCAAGGTAAATATTATAATTATTTTTAAATAACAATTTAACAAATATTAATATTTTAAATTTTAAATAGATATATTAGTAATACTGAATCTGTTAACAATATATCTTTAAAGAAGAAGGTATTTACCAACTTAAGATCTGCTGTTGTTCTTTATTTGGGCGCCATTCTCTTTGTAAATAGTCTTAGAATTGTCATGGTTTGGTATCTATATTGGCTTGCTTACAGTTTATCAGAACCCATGTTTATTTTAATGATGGTATTCCTTTGTTATTCCTTTAGACCAAGCAACAGCGATTCAAATATATTTAGAAACTCAAATTTAGATTCAATAGATTTTACAGAGATCGCAAGAAATATGGAGTCTATTTTAAATCAAAATACCGATCCAATTTTATTATCAAATATGTTAGAGATACGTTCTTTTGATCCAAATACCTGCTTTATTATTAAATATCCCAGCCAAAACTCCAATTTTTCGATAGCAATCCAAGAAACTCCCAGCAATCATAACACAAATAATAATACCAAAAATAAAAAAGATGATTAATTTTTTTATTTTACACACATAAATTTTTTTTTTTCCCATATTAATTAAAATAAAAAACTCCTCAATAAATTGTAAAATGAAAAGAGAATGCGAAGGATAGACAGAGAAAGAGAATAAATTTATTTAAAGAAAATTTTTTTTTTTTTTTTTTTTTTTATAGTGAATTAATTTTAAGTTATTATACATATAGATAAATATAATAAAAAAAATTAATTATTATTTAAAATGAAACGAATATTCATTCTTGTATCTTTTATTAATGTCTTTCTATTTTTTGTCTTTAATCTATCTCTCTTGCCTTTAAACCAGTTTTTGATTTTTATCTCTTCGACTTGATAGCGAAAAGCAAGATTTCTGATATCTTCTCTACTCGGATAAGGGTTGTTTATAAAGAACTTTAATAAATAAACCAAAAATAATAAAATTTACATTTAAAAAAAAAAACATTAGTATCATGTAAAAGTAATTTTGATCATAAAAAAAAAAAAAATTCAAATAATAATAACTACGGATTTCAAAAAGATTTATTTAATTATTTTTATGATTATATATTACATTTTCAAGAAGATCTGTACTAATTCCAGATGATCTGACATTTCTTGGTTGAAAAATAAAAAATATTAATATTAATATTAATTATTATTAATTTTAATCCTAAATATATCTACCTTATTGATCTACTATTAAACTCTTTTATAATCATTTGAAATGATATAGGTATTATTGTTTTTTTCCTCTTCTTTTTTTTTTCTTTTGCAATATAATAATTTTTAAATTAATTAATTAATTTAAAAATAAAGAAAAATAAAAAAAAAAAAAAAAAGGTCTTCTTTTATTATGCAAATATTTGTGTGTAAATTTCTATTGTGATAAAATTATTATAATTTTGATAAATATAATTGTGGTAAATTGAAAAAAATAAAAAAAAAAAGGATGAATTTTTGTTTGCTTTTTTTTTCTTTTTTTTTCTTTTTTTTTTTAATAAATTATTTTTTAAAAAAAAATAAATGAAGATTATAATTGAACGTTAAATTTTTAAAGTGAAAATTTTTTTTTTTTTATATTATTTTTTTTTTGTATTTTTTCAATTTTCTAAAATTGAGAGATCTTTCAATGTTTAATTCATTTCCTCCCGTGGGGTATATTTAAATATTCACTGGACTCTCTATCAAACGGGTATTTTTTTTTTTTTCTATTTATTTTTATAAATTTATTATTTATGTCATCAACATTAAAGAAAATAACGGGTTGTCTTGATTTTTCTTCTTTTAAACCTAGTGGAGGAAATAAATGAAACCACACGTGTGCCATAAGTGTGGCCCATTTTTATTTTTGACATTTTCCATGAAAGATATTAATTTTATCATAAAATTTTTTTTTTTTATTTTTTTTTAAAAATTATTATTTTATTTTTTTTAAAATATTGTTTTTATTTTTTAATTAATTTATTTCTAATACGACTATAAAAAAATTTATACCCTTTTTTATATTTTTCTTATTTTTCTAAAAAAATTGTTTTTTTTGTTTTTTTTGTAAAAAAAAAAATATTTTATTTTTTTTATTTATTTATATTTTACATTTGTATATTTTTTATATTAAAGTTTTATTATTGTATTATATATTTGAATCTTTATTTATTATTTATTATTATTATTATTTTCGTTGTTTTTATTTTCGCTATAATTGTTATTATTATTGTATTATTTTCTTCTATATTATCCAATGCAACGTTTTCAAATTTGGTTTCATCCATTTCAATTTGCTTACTATTTGGAGTTTGAATTGGTTCCTATTTTCAATAGGGTGGATTTGATTA